CCCGAATCCCCACTGACTCACCACACGGTGTGGTCACGGCACCGCTTTGGGATCCTTGGGTCTGGGAAGGATCCCGGACATTTGGGCTGCGACTGATGCTTCCGAGTGGGGGGGAGCGGCTCGAAGCGTTTCAACTGTTGGGGGCCCTTCCCACACCTCAAACGTCGTGATTGTTTCTCAACGTGTTCCCGCAGGACCAACTTCTCATCCAGAGTTTTTTGAATCCCGGGGCCCAGAAACCGAAAAATGCAAGAAACCGCCCGTCGCTATTTCTCGCGACTGGGGGGGTCGCTGGATCGATCGAGGTGCATGGACGCTTCGAATCCCCTCTTGGCCTCCGAGGGACTCTGAAGGCGCGTGTGGTTCCAGAGACCTCTTATCTCCACTGGACCTCAACTATCCATGCCGGTGACCTCTGGAGGCTTGGGTCCCTCAGATCTGGGCGTCGCGAGAGGAACACCACGGGCCTCTCATTCTGCTCGTCGGGCCTGTTCTGCCCCTCGCCGGGTCCCTCGTCACATATTGACCAGTCTCAGGAGAGGCTGGGCGGTGCGTTCGGAAGCCCCTATCGTGATGATTGCCAGCTGGAATTTTCGCGCGCGCGAAGACGCGGCGCGGCGTGGTGTAGCTTCAGGCTGCGCACAGACAGCCCCGTCAGGTCGTCCCAGATGGCCTCAGCAGGCCCCGGGGTCGCCGCCAGAGGTGGCGCCAGTGGGTTGAGACCGCCCCGGACTTTTCGGGGGCGGGGCCAGCCGGGACTGCCTGAGGGGGCTGCCGGTGCGCAGCCCGAAGCTTCACCCATGCGGTGGATCGTAAACCGGGCCTGGAGAGGACGCCACAGCGCCCCCCCGAGAAGGCCCACATGACACCTGCGCGAGCAGGTGGTGTCATTGACCGCTCCTGCCTCCCGGGCTCGCGGACGGCGTGCGCCGCGGGCGCCGGGGCTCAGGGCCGCCTACCGGCGGGTCGCCGCGTGGGCAAGGAATTCTGCGGGCCGGAGGGCCTCCCAGAGTAGCCGCTATCCGCGCCGAACCTGCGTCGGACACGAGAAGCGACTGCAATCTGCAGGGCGGGCGAGACCGCCGCGAAGATGCGACGTAAAAACTGTGCAAGCACGAGAAGGGCTGGTATTGAAATGAATTCGAAGCTAGGGGGCCACATGCGAACCCTACCCCTACTCCCCACGATTTCTGAGGGGGAGGGTGGGGTTCACTTCGTCCGGGAGCTCCCGAGCGAACTGAACCCCACCCTCCCCGTCAGAAATCTTGGGGGGTAGGGGTAGGGTTCGCATGTGGCCCCTGGCATTGACATGAATTCGAAGCATCTTCATAAATAATCCTGCGTGCCCCACCCGCCGGGCACCGCGCCGCCCCCCGGACGGGGCGCCCGCTGGACGCGGGGCGCGGGGCGCGGGCGCCCCCGAGCCCCTCGCAGGCTCGGGCGCCGAGGCCCAATCTGCAGGAGCACGCGCGCAAAACACCAGGAGGGAGCCGCTCCTGTAGCCTCCGGAGGGCCTCCTGCCCCAGGAGCCTCTCGGTGCCGTCTGGGGCCCCCCGGTGCCTCCTGGCGCATGCGGCCTCCTGCGGCCTCCTGTGGCCTCCTGGGGCCTCCTGGTGCTGCCTAGGGCCTCCTGGAACCTCCTGGGGCCTCCTGGGGCCTCCTGTGGCCTCCTGATGCTCCTGGGGCCTCCGAGGGCTTCCTGGGGCCTCCTGGAGCATCTTGGGGCCTCCTGTGGCCTGCTCAACCTGCCTGTGGCCTCCTGAGACCTCCTGTGGGCCTCCTGGAGCCTGTAGGAGCCTCCTGTGGCATCCTGGGGAAGATCCGTGCACACGAGTCTGGCCATCAAAACAAGCAAACCGCTCGAGACATCCTCGCAATCTGGGCCCCCAGGGGTGCGAAAACCAGCGCCTCGCTCGAAACATTCTCAAAATCTGTTCCGACAGCGGAGGATGTTGCGCATTCAAACAAGCAAACCGCTCGAGACATCCCTGCCATTTTGGCGCAAACGGAGGAGTGCAATAACCCCCCGGCGGCTCCCCCGTGGGGGTGCTTAAACCCGCGCCTCGCTCGAGACATTCTCAGACTTTGCTCCGCCATCATCATCATCATCATCATCATCATCATCATCATCATCATCATCATCATCATCATCATCATCACCACCACCACCACCACCACCACCACCACCACCACCACCCTCCTCCTCCTCCTCCTCCGCCTCCGCCTCCGCCTCCTCCTCCTCCTCCTCCTCCTCCTCCTCCTCCTCCTCCTCCTCCTCCCCCTCATCCTCATCATCGTTATCATCATCATCATCATCATCATCATCATCATCATCATCATCATCACCATCATCACCATCATCACCATCATCACCATCATCACCATCACCATCATCACAACGGAAAATGGCATAGCCTCGCATATCATAACATACCGAATCAGAACATAGCATAACATCGCAACAGTATCGCATAGCGTGTCAGTACATACAATAGCATAGCATGACAGACCATGGTGGCACAACATCACACACCATGGCATGCCATAACACGGCATACCAGCATGTCATGCCGTAACATACCAACACATAACATAACACAGCAAAACATAACATATTATAACCTACCATAACGTAACACGCCATGACATAACGCAACATCGCATGTCATATCATTAAGTATGATATCACAACACAAGATGTCATACCATACCAGACCATGACATAGCATGACATACCAAAACATGATGGAACATACCGTACCATACCATAAGATACCATACCGTATAATAGTCGGCGCGTCCAGAGTAAAGATTTCCTGCGTGGAGCTCCACATGTGTGCAACTAGTTGCATGGACCTGTCCGCCGTGAGTGTAGTGTCTAGGCGCAAAAGTTTTCGAACATAAGCGGGCTTGGGTATTGGCAGTCTGGGAGTGAATATACCTGTGAATGAGTTGGAGTGTGAATGAGTCTCAATAATACGAGTGCGTCTCTGCGCATGAGCCTGTGGGTCTTCCTGGGGCCCCCTCGTGCCTCTTGGGGCCTCCTGTGGCCGCCTGAGGCCTCCTGGGGCCTCGTGTGGCCTCCTGGGTCCTCCTGGAGCCTCCTGGAGCCTCCTGTGGCCTCCTGGGGAGGATTCGTGCCCCAGGAGAAGCCCAATATATAGGAACAGTTGTAAAATTCATAGGGATTGGAGCCACAGGAGAAGGGCAATCTGTAGGAACAAACGTAAGCACACAAAGGATTCGTGCCCCAGGGCAGGCCCAGTATATATATATATATATATATATATATATATATATAAGAACACACGTAAACACACATAGGTATGGATACACCAGAGAAGGACAGACTATAGAAACAGACGTAACACACAACGGACTCGTGCTCGAGAAGAGGTCCAATCTATAGGAACATACGCAAAACACCAGGAAGGAGCCACTCCTGTGGCCTTCTGAAGCCTCCTGCTCCTGGGACCTCTTGGGGCATGTTGGGGCCTCCTGGAAGCTTCCGGGGCCTTATGGAGCCTTCCGGGGCCTCCTGTGGCCTCCTGGCGCTTCCTGTGGCTTCCTGGGGCCTCTTGTGGCCTCCTGGGGCTTCCTGTGGCCTCATGGAACCTCTTGGGGCCTCTTAGGGCCTCCTGTGGCCTTCTGGAGCATCCTGGAGCCTCCTGAGACCTCCTAGGGCATCATGGGGCCTCCTGGAGCCTCTTGGGGCTTCTGTGGCATGTTGACCCTTCCTGTGGCCTCCTGATGCCTCCTGGGACCTCATGTGGCCTCCTGGAGCCTGTTGGAGCCTCCTGTGGTATCCTGGGGAGGGGTGTTGAAACCAACGCCTCGCTCGAGACATCCTCATAATCTACTCTGAACGCAAACGAATCTGGCCACCAAGAGACAAGCAAACAGCTCGAGACATCCTCGCAATCTGGGCCCCCAGGGGTGCGAAAACCAGCGCCTCGCTCGAGACATTCTCAAACCAGCTCCGACAGCGGAGGATGTTGCGTTGCGCATTCAGACAGGCAAGCCGCTCGAGACATCCCCGCCAGTTTGGCGCAAACGGAGGAGTGCAATACTCCCTGGCGGCTCCCCCTTGGGGTGCTTAAACTCGGGCCTCGCTCCAGACATCCTCAGAATGTGCTCCGCCACCATTATCATCATCATCATCATCATCATCATCATCATCATCATCATCATCATCATCATCATCATCATCAGCATCATCATCAGCATCAGCATCAGCATCAGCATCAGCATCATCATCATCATCATCATCATCATCATCATCATCAGCATCATCATCACCAGCATCAGCATCATCATCATCACCTTCACCATCACCATCACCATCGTCATCATCATCATCAGCATCATCATCATCACCAGCATCAGCATCATCATCACCAGCATCGTCACCATCGCCATCACCATCACAATCAGCATCAGCACCATCAGCATCCACAGCAGCAGCATCAGCATCATCATAGCAGAACACTGCATACCAGACAGTAGCATACCATACCATAACATGTCATAACATAATATACAGTAATACAGCATACCATAACAATATACAACAACTTTTCATTGTCATGCCATACCATAGCATGACATAACACAACATACCATACCATAATACAGCATGGCATAACATAGCATGCCGTACCATAACACAACATTACATAATAGAACCTAACATAGCATGATAAGGATGAGGGGAGGACGTGTGTGAGTGAGGAGTCGGCGCGGTCGGAGTAATAACAATGACACCATTCTTAGATATGGGGAATGACAGGAAAGCCATCCTTTGGAGATGGGGAACAACAACAAAAAACGCCAGGCTGGCTGGCAGACGACGCCTTAGACGGCCGCCACCGTGCACCGGCAGGTCCTACGGATGGATGTAGCGGACCGTGCGAGGGCGAGGCGAGGCGAGGCGCTGGCAAACGCGGAAAAGGACGGGAGCACAGCGCGGGTGGGCCGAAGATCGAGTTTGACGCACTCTG